GTCATCCGTGTCTTCCTTTTTGTTCATTGTCTTGTCCCTCTTCTGTAATATCCGTAAGCTTTCCAACGTGAATCTTGTTCTCTCCCTCTTTTCTTTGTCTATTATTTTCGTTTTAGTTAGATCAGCTGTGTGTCCGCTTGCTGATATGTGTTGTGATAGTGCCGTGTTGCTCTTGTTCTTCTTGATGTCCGCTTCATGCTCCGATAAGCGAACTGCAAGCGGTCTTTTTGTCGTTCCAATGTAAATTTTATTACACTTTTCGTTTTCACTTCCTTCGCATGTTATTTCGTACACTACGTTCTTTTGTTGGTGCGGCTCTATTGGAGTTTTTGTTTTGGTAAATACTGAAGACAACGTGTGATTTGATCGGTATGCTAGTATTGTATTTTGGTTGCTAGTGTATTTCTTGCGATCAAATTTTTCGCTGAGTCTAGGTACGTATGTTACATTGTAGCACGATCCAGAAAATAAAGGTCGCGCCATTCGCGGACCGCTAACCCTCCCTTCGTCGATTTGACAGCATCCACCCAATCGCTGACGTCATAAAATACTTTTGTTTACATTCACTGTTGCCAACTTGATGCTTTTCGCACCAAATTTAGTGGGTATTCAAAACGCGAAAATTCTTGACTTTTGTGCTTGGTGCGTTTTTGGTGCTTTTGTTTTTAGTTTTAAGACACCAAATTAGAAAATCTTAAAAAAATTGAAGCAAAATTTATAGCAATCGTAAGTGTGGTAAGCAATTTTACAAGAAATTAAACAAAATCATGGCACAGTGACAATCATAAGTGACAAAGAAATATGTGGCAGCACCTTCGATCATGCCAGAAGAAATCGACCGTTGTGCAAGAAACATTGATTTTTGAATCGGCATCCTTACAATAAAATTATGTATTCATACAAAGTCCATAAAATACACCAATAAAAATTTGGTGCGTTTTCAAAGTCAAAACTTGGCAACACTGCCTTTTGGTCGATGATTCCTCTTTTTCTTGTCGAGTTCGTCTTGCTCTCTCATTCTGGTATTTATTGACGTCATGGCCAGTTGCTCTCAGCTCGATTGGCGCAATCTTGTATTCTATCATTCTTGACACTGTAGTAGCGTTTTGTCTCATTATTAGTTGTTGTGATCGTAGGGTTATTGCGTTTGTCATTAATTTGTGTTGTTAATTGTTTAACTAGGCTATGAATTATGTGCTCCGGGTAGTTGTTACTTCTAATAATGTTGAATATTTTCTTTATATTTGTGTCATGAAATTGTTGATGGCTTATTTTTAGTATCTTATTAATTAAGTTCTTAGCAGTATTAATTTTGTACTTAGAGGGTTGTGACGACAAATAATTTATTAAACGTCCCGAGGATGTAGGTTTCGAATACCAGT